TCCGATTAGCGCCTTCAACTGCTGCTAGAACACGTTTAAAGTCAACCTGGAAGGAGGAGAAAATACGTTCAAATAAATGCGCCTTGAAACGCCTTCCCTAATTAATTCTCAAGTCACCTAGACAGTGGAATTTTCACAACCCCTCAACTTGTTGCGCACGTTGGCTAAACTGGTCAACGTGGTTTTCAGATGCCAACGGGCAAATTGACCTTTCTGCAGTTTATGAGGTCCTATGTCGTTACTTACACAAACCTCCGGGCAAGATGGGTGCACACATAACTTAAGAAAGTCGCGCTCACAACCTGATGACGAACTCAATCGATATAGAAAAAGTCGCCAGACCGAACGATACCGGAGGCGGCACACAACGCACTCAACTAAAAGCCCGCCAAACATTCTCCGGCGAGGTTGAGGCAGCCAGCGGAAAAAAAATCGATAAGCAGGTCACGCCACGCCACGCATTTTTTGCCTTCAGTTCGACCAAGTGCATTTAACGCTCTTAGCCAGCCAAACTCTCTAAAAAGGTCAGCATTTCGATAAATCTGTCCCGCCTAGCCCCTCTTGGTTCTATAAACTCCATATACTCGTTTCTAGTTCATATGAACGCGTAGGAATGTTTGGAAATAGGAAATTCACGCTCTTGGATTGATTGATTTAGCGTGAAAACTGGATCCACATTCTCCTAGTGTCGCGTGCGAGCAAGCTCTACCGATGCTGTGCCGAAGCTAATTTCGTCTCGTTGTAGTTCGCGCATTGGGGTGATATATTGGTCGTCTCGGAGGTTAAGTGCACTATGCCGGCTCGCTAGCATTTGGATATAGATACAGGAAAGCGTCTCGCATATAAATCATATAGAGGGCGCTTTCCCAAACGAGGTTATGATTTTTATCTAGATGATTGAATTTTTGGGCTTTTGTTATTTAGCGAGAAGCCGCAATAATTCATATAAGACGCTTTTTGCTACGAATTTTCGAACAGTATGCTGTGTGAGCAGGGGACTGAGACAGCCAACGGAAGAAAATTGTGCAGCCAGAGGCTGATAAGTAGGTTGCGCCACGCCACTTCTATTTTTGTTCGATTTAGCGCTTTGAGCCGACCAGGCTCTCTAAAACGTCAGCGTTTAATAAGCCTGTTTCGGTGAGCCCTTTTTATTTCCTAAAAGCAATATTGACGACTTGAACTAAAAAAAAATTAGGTAATCTTTCGCCGTATTGGCTCTGAAATCTCTATGTCATCATTCCTAGTTTATATAAACGCGTGCGAATGTTTGAAATTAGGAAATCCACACTCCTGGGTTGATTGATTTAGCACGAAAACTGGGTTAACTTTTACCTGGTTTCGCGTGCGGATAAGCTGCACCGATGCTGTACCAGAGTGAATTTCATCTCGTGGTTCGCGCAGGCGGTTGATATGGTCTTCGTTACGGGGGGAGAAGCGCATTTCGCTAGCGTGCTAGCGGTTTTCTCTCCCACTAAATACCCTAATTGTCTTCATCCTCCTATCCCAGGCAAGGCTTTCCTTGTAGTCTATTGGTTAATTCTTGTATGCGCAGCCTGACAGGTAGGAA